TTCGCATTTTAGAGTCAAAAGCAAAGCTTTTTGTTACTTTATTATTGCAACCGCCTTAACATATGTAAAACTTAATTTTACAGTTATAGAATTTTGTATCCAAAATAACACGAAAATGTTTTATATTAATCCACAAAGTAATTCACAGAAATTCGATGATATTTACGGTTCCATGTATGGTAAATAGTTTTTGTGATATTTTCATAATGATGCTGTGGTATGATTCATGATGACTTTTTCGAAATTATTTAATGTCTGAATGACTGGCTTTGTTTGGGTTGTTTGCCAATGACGTCAATCAAATAATTACAAGCCATACAAGAGTAGCTAGTTGTATAGCTAGTAGCGTCGCTAGTAGCGTAACTTATATTGCAGTCCAGCTAGTAAAGAAGGAACTATAGATAATTACTGACATTAGTGCCTTAAAGCTTTAAATACCTTTCCTAAATTGAACATTGGACATCATTAAATACTAAACCTCAAATTCTTAAGCTCAAAATTATTCAATGATGACGATTAAGTTACTTTATTCATAATCAACCGACCAGATGAGATAACATCCAGTTTTCGGTGTTAACAAGGCTTTTATGAGAATTAAAATATTTACATTTGACATGAGAATGTCGGTCAAATTTAATACTGTACAAGCGCTATTCAATTAGTTCTATCCAACACTCTCACTCAAAATAGACAAAATCATAGTTGAGCTTCAATGAAAATCCAATGTGAGTAAAGTTTGTAAATCACTCGAGTTTTGGAAATAAAACAAAAAAATTCAAAGTCAAAAAATAAGCTATTGACCTTGGTCGATGAGTCTTTTCACTGCTGTTTCGTTTTACTACCTTATCTTATCACGACATATTCACCGTTTCAAGTTTCATTACCTTCTATTGTTATCGATGCAGAGCTTCTCTCAAAAATCATGTAATTCTTGTGCAATAGCGTAATTGTGGATTAGTTAATACAATTATTCCTTATGAGGAGATTAATCAAGCACATGGGTATGGAAAAAAGTATTTACTGTATTATGTGCATTTATTTTGATTATAGATTTTTAATTCAGAGTTGTTATCTGGTCTGGGGATTAGTTTTTGGGTATTTAGAAGTTAGATATGAATGACCTTGGTGAGAACACGTTTTAAGTATTTGAAGTATTCCCAAGCAACAATCACTGTAGCTCTAAGATTCATAACTTCACGAAACTTCATAAGCAACTCTGATTGTTAAGCTACATCAGCAAGAAAACGTTAGTCTTCATCTTTCATCTTCAATTAGTAATTAACTGCAAACATACTTTCCATTCTTCAGCTAAGGGAATGGTAATTAAAAGATAATTTCAATGTAATTACCTCTTCAGTAGTAAAGGAATTAGAATCATTAAGAAATTCTAAGTAGCATTAAATGCATATTTTTAGACTATTAATTCCTATACTTACTTAAAAATACCTCCAACGAGCAATAAATCACACCGCCAGTACAGTAAATTGAATGGTAAATTAAGCAAACCACGTGAATGTGTCAGAGTTAGTAAAACAGCTATTTTTCACGACACATATCATAATCATTCAATTATACTCGATATGAGCGACAAATTGAATTAAGATATGGGAAAAAAAATGTACTGGGAATAATAGGAAAATTGATGTGCCTTAATACATAACAATACAATGAATATGTATGAATAAAGTTCTTATCGCTCTACAAAGTGCTCGTTTCTTTATTCATTCATTGTCAACCTTAATGCTTAATTCTTTGCGAAATCGCGAGGCATGCTAGCGAAAAAATTGATGAGTACTGTATACATGTTTACGGATATCTGTTGGATGAGCATTCTGGAGTGTAAAATTGCTTGCCGGCAACAACAAAATATGGGCCATACGCATTGAGTTTGAGAGAAAACATTTAAAAGCTACGAAAATATTTAATTTTGATACTTCCTGTTATGAATTACAGACATCGGGGACGGGGGTTATAAGAATTAAAATCTTGGTTTTTGTTGTTGTGGTTCCAAAGCTGTAGACTCTGTCATCCCTTCAAAATATAGTCACCAGGAAGCCACACAACATATAGCATAGTGTTCAAAATCCAAAACTATGCTTCGATCTAAATTTATATTAATTTCAAATTATTATTCGTCATTCCCGTTAGACGATGCTTCTTGAGCACTTTTCGACATTAAAAATAGAAAGTAATTGGGCTGAATAATTGAATTTTATTGCTTATTAAATCTCCAACAATTTGAAAAAGATACACTTTAATGCCATTATGCTCGAGCGCTTTGTTCACGTTTATTATCATAATATCGTCAAAATTGTTAACATATTGGATATTCTTTTACTTTTCTTCATCGTAGTCGAATGCATGTTACTGGGTCATCGACACGTTTTGTGTGTGTTTATGTATGGATGTAAGAAGAAAATAAGAAATTCAGCACTAAAATTCACGAGGGGTGAACGAAGTTTATTTTTTTTTGCAAATGAATTAAAATATTAACAAGTGAGAAACCAAAGAAAGGGTCAACGGATGAAGTCATGCGCGACATTAGTGAGTTGAATTAGGGGTTCTAAAGCGAATGAGCATGGCTACAAGTTCGAGATTAATTTTTGAGGAATCAATATTTTTGGTAAAATTTAAGACACTAGTTGAAGCCATTCCCTCATCTGCCTGGCTATGTTTTTTGTATCTAAAGCTTTTTTGAAGTTGCAAGTCTGATTCCTTTAACAAGTCCAACTTACTTTTACAAAGAAACACACATGCACAATGGAATATCGTCACAAAATGTCAGATGTCTTTGAACTTTATATTTTTGGACATAGCGACATTTCCATTCAATACTCTCTCACAAGAACTCTCAAAAATCCATTCGATATTCTGAAGCCCTAAGCTGAAATGACGTTAAATGCTAATTCCATGAATATTCTGCGTGATGCGTGAACTAAAACATTATTTTTGAACAATCCAAAAAGAATCGTGTAAATGTAGAAAAATAATGGACATTAAAGCTTGCATAATATAAATAGCGGCGTCAAGGTTCAAAAATATTAAACAGCAATACTCAGCTGGGTATGAGTTTCAAGAGAATTATTGACAGTGCTAAAAATTAAACTTTATGGCATGGTCAAAATAAGACGTAGAACTGCTGTCATTAGGCATTTTGATGTGCAAATCATCATCATAAGTTGATTACAATTAGAATCGCAAATCTAGAATTAAGAATAATGAGGAGATGATTATTTTTCAGGTTGAATGATAATTTATGGTATGATGCTATTATAGTCATGGAACTAAATTGCAGTTTGGGTATTGCTTAAGACTTAAGAGGAGAGGAGGGGGGGGGGGGTTAGTGTATAAGGGGTCATGTCAATAAAGACAAATTCTCTAGTTACTTAACACCCAATCGACCAATAAACTGTTTCTTAACGTACAGTCAGTCAAACAGTAATGAGATAAAGACCTTGAAGCCAACACTCCTTATAATTTTCAATTATATAGCCCCAACTATGTCTTAAAAATAATTCATTTTTAAAAAGTTATGTTTATGCAATAAATTAAAAAATAAAAAAAAAAACAATTTTTTACGAATGCATAAACAATAACAATTTTTTATTTCCGACTCTGTTGCTGTTTGACTTAACCGCCAGGTGCCCTTACATACATTATTTACTTAATGAAATGAATAAATTTGAATACACATGATATCTTCTAAAGATCGTGAGGATCTCTTAATTAAATTGCCATACAAATTAAGTAAATATATAAAATTAAATTGTTCGTATCCAAACATGCTGAATAAATGCCTAGACAATGTAAGGTATGAAAAATTTCTTGCAGAATTCTATTGTGCTACCTGAATTCCAAAAATAAAGATAAGAATCGTTACGATTCTAACACAATTACTTAGTTCCTCATGCCTTGTATTAAAATTATTGTAATTGATTTTCAGATTCTTATGAATGAATCATTCATTGACCATAAGAATTCTTTTGTTCCAGTTTGGCAATCGTTCATTGTTCTCAACTTCTTGCTGTACTGTTCAGTCACAAATTGAGTCGTTTATTGTTTCCCAAGCTTAAGTGGTGTGAAGATAGAATTTTAGCTGCTGCTGAATAGAATTTTTTATATTCTTGGTAATCAATTTTATTAATAATTGGATTGTGATAGGAGGAAGTGAGATACTTTGTGGATTTGGAATTCTTTTTTTATTAAATAATTGTTCAAAATAGAAAAATGCAGAAAATTGATAGAAAATAAGATTGAAGTTTTGATAAAAACTTAACAAAGTAATGAGTTCGAATCTCAAGAATTTACTAATTGAATCAAATCAAATTTTATAATCATGCTTTCCTATTTTTTTTCAAAATTCGCAAAGATTTCAATCGTAAATTTGCTTATTTTTCTACCGTAAATGACAATAAAAAATTATAGTAATTTTCCTTGCCTCGTGAATCAACATTTCTTTAGTTTAATTGCGGCAGTTAAAAATATGAAAATAATGTAAAGTATGAACAGAAATGTTAATTAAGCGAAAAAATTATTTTGACCGTTAATTGTTCATTTTACAATTAATTGACTGAATTAGGATTTCTTTTTCATTTGTTAATTAAAAGCAGAGAAGGTACTTTAACATGGAGGGCAATTAATGATGTTTTGTGTAGTATGAAAATTACATGCAGAAGTCATCAACCCACTTTTAGTCAGCTTACTTCTTCTTTGTTGTATTTTTTTGCGCGCGCTTGCATAAGAATTGCATTGAAATGCAGATTTTAAGTGCGAACAAAATTGGGTCGTTCATAAATTACGTCAAAACATATATTTTGATCTAGTTCCTGACTTCAGAAGTCCCCAACCAAAAATTTGAAATCATATTATTACAACAGATTGCATTGTTGGTCTTAATATGAAAACTATCATTAGACGTTACTTACAAGTAACCCCAAAGCATACTTCAATTGTGTACTTTACTATTGAGACAATAAAAATGTGTTTTTGTGTCATTACAGGTCCTCGAACTGATTACCATTGATTTGTCAACTACAATCACTAAACTGATGACTCATGCTGCAATTTTAAAATGAGTTGACGATGTAAATCTCCAACAAAAAGAAGCATTGCAAAATTTATCTCGAAAACAAAATTTCAAAATAAATCAATTAAAAGTCTTTAATAAAAATTTAATTATGGCAACATTTCACATTTTGATACTTCTTCTCGCAACATTTGCGGACCATCCTCGATTTCATGTTGAAGGTCACCCACTGACCAACAAAGAGACAGAAATTGCAACAACTACAGAAATTTATGATGAATTGACGACAATTACTAGCGATGAGAAGATCAACTCGACTACAGACATTACATTAGGCTTAAGCAGGTAAGAAGTAGAGATAAATTAGCATAATCATAGTATCTACAATAGACATTAAGACTAGTATGACAATTTCTTTTTTTTGTCTTGATTCAAATGAGCTTTTTCCCATTATTAGAGCATCAAAAGTATGATGGCATGGTTGTTAGAATTAAAATGTATATAATCACGACAGAGTTGCAATTTTAATTTAGTATGGTGCCCTAGTTTGGTGTGTTAAGCTTTTCACAATCATTCTTACACCTTAATAACAAGCCCTTGATGCCAGGGTCTATCAAACTTCGGTTTGTTTCTCGGCAAATATTTTTCAAAATTTAAATGTCCATATTACTTACTATGAGTTGGCATCAAGGGCTTGTGTTATTAGGGTACTCACCCCATATGTCCAGGAAATCGGCTCCTGAGTATAGACACAGCTTAAGCTATCATTCATGACTCTTTCACTGTCTAATCATAGTTTTAGGTCTTTTCCTGCTGCTTTTAAGATCTCAGAGTATCTGAAATTTTAAAAATCACTTTATTAATTGTAGGATTTGAACACTGGAGTTCGATTTCACCACCAGCTTTCGTGATCTGCAAATTCACAACTGAGCTATCAAGTCACTCCAATATCTATATTAGATATGACAAAAATTCCTTTTATCCACAACTCTGCTCACTTCCGTGCATGTTTAGATTATCACAAAAAGCAATTTGAGATCAGCATTAGATTGACTATCAAAGCAATTCTGTGCACGACAGCTCACATTGACACTTGTAATTAAATTCTCTATTGTTTTTACTTCCATTTATGAATCGATTTTTTGTGTTCGTTTTGTTTATGTTCATTGAGAGTTGTGTGCTGTAAAACTTTTTTAATTGCTGTGCATATATATTTTTTACTCTCTCGTTTTGCTTGTCTGTTTCTCTGTGTTAACTGTTTTCAATTTCAATGTCATTTTCATATTTATTCTGTATCAAATTAATTAGGTACGAATTGAGAGACACAGAGAGAGAAATTGTGTTGAATTATTCAATGAATGAACTTTTAATCCATAATAGATGAATGCATTTAGCAAAGTAATCTATGAAAATTTGAAAAAATCCTAAAGGGGGGGGGGGGGGGGGGGTGGCATTCAATGGAAAATACTCACTGTGATTAATAAATTTATAAAATCCTAGTCATTCTTTGTTTACTGAATTTCGTAATATTCTTGCCTCGACACAAAATGTTATTTTGACAAATCCAACAGCTCAGCCCCATGCTGAAGAAAGTGAATTTTAAATTATTGAATAGTTTTTATGAGTCGTGATCTTACATAATGTCTGAATCCACGAAATTAAAAATAGATTTATTATGTTGTCCATTAGAAAAATAAGAAGGAGGTCTCAAATAGATTAAAATGAAGTGCCGAAAAACAGCTTGAATGGGTTGAGTTTTGTAATGTTTATTACTCAATTACTTTAAGTTGTCATTTTGGTACTGCAAATTTTATGAATTTTCAAATTATTAGCAAACTTAATTGTCACACCTACTAAGTGTTAAGTTTAAATTTAAGATAGTATGTAGATAATTCAAGCTTGATGTGAATCTTTGCTTTAACCTCAGATTCATTTCCATTGTAAAAGAGCAGCCCTACAATATTGTACATTTAGTAAAAGGCGTTAATGACTACATCATTAACAAATTTGGTGAACATCAACATTTGATATGCTACTTAGTTTTCTCATTCAGGTCTTAATGGCTGATAAAATTTCATTTTATGATGATTTGGATGAGATTGTGATTGATTCAATGTTAGATAATTTTTAAAGTTGTTATTCGAGATATTAAGGTAGTAATGGGAAGTAATATTACGCTTTATCGGGACAATAAGTGTCGGGCGCGTAGCCAGAGGGGGAAGGGGATTAGGGGGACAAGAAATTTCATTTTTTTTCTAGGGTTTTTATGAAAAAATCACAAAAATACCCCCCCCCCCCCCCATAAATTTTTCCATACAAAAAAAATTTTCGTCCCCCCTCTTCAAATTCCTGGCTACGCCCCTGATAAGTGTAATATAATTGTGAAACTACTTAATTTGATGTTCAAGATAGCAAGTGTGAATTTTGCTTGATGATATCAAGAACAAATCTTAGCTTGACTAGAACTCGAAGTCAAGTCCTTTTAAGCTTTATGAGTTGAATTAAACAGGACAGAATGCAAATTCCGAGTAATACTATTGATCTGTAATGATAAACCTTAATACACTTCTGTAATACCATTGAACTACTTAACTGCAAATCAGCAACAACTTTTTAAAAGCAAACAATCATGTGAATAAAATAAAATTGCAATGAGACATGTAATTCATCTGATTATTAACTGATATTGTTTGTGCTTGTATGTTTATTTTTACCAATTTTGCATTCATAAACAAACAATAACTTGTAATATCTCATTCCAATCGAGTTTACAGCACAAAAGAAAAGGCCATAAAACTTCTAGGAACTGTTTAAAATTCACGGCATCCTTACTGACTCGCAATATTGAGCAATATAAAAATTATAAATTACTTAGAAAGGAATCAGAAAAGCATTGGACATGTTCATGGACAGACAGAAGTTTATAGCCAATATAATTTTTTTTTATTTACACCACGCCATTTACGTTTACAAACTTTGAATTCTAATTAGGTAACAAGCTGTACCAGTCATATATGCATGATTTTTATTTTATTTTTTCTGTTCAATTCCAAATGGCAAACCTTGATTCAATTTCTTAATTCAAAACTACAATGCCTTTGTTGTACTTTTTTTTTCATTCTCATAAAATTAAATGATAATTGACTCAAATGCTTATGGATTTTGGAATTTAATGTATGTTGTTGCTTAGGGGAAAAAGCTTGACACAGAATTTCATGTTTTATTTGACATTTTATGCTTTATTGCGACATTTTGGGTGAAGTAATAAGTCTTGGAATTACATTCTTATAATCTAGTTGGATGTTGATTGAGTTTGGGATAATAAATTCTTTTGTTTGAGTAATTTTGACCATTTTATTGTTTAGATTATCACGCGCATAAGCTGGTTACCTAATCAGTTCTACTTTAAATTTGCACGTAGAAATTGCAAACAATAACCTACTTTTCACACATCTTATTATAAGCGGAACTACATGCTGAACTATATTAGTCACAGTTTGATTTTTTTTTGTATGTTTATAAACATAGGTAGACTGTGAGTCTATAAGTAATAATGCTAGCGACCTTGCCCAATATTTCATAATGGTGAATATGTAGAGTGGATTTTTTTGTTGTAACTTCCTTTGTGGCCGTTCACTTATTACGTTCGCATTTTAGGGAATATACTTGTTATACTATATAAATTTATTTTAAAAAGGTTTTAACTCCCTCATCAGTAGATTGAAATATATAAGAAAAGTCATTACGTTCGCATTTTAGGGGGGAGGGGGGGGGGGGGGTGTGTTGAAAAATTGTAACAAAATGTAACATAGGGGAAAATTCGCACCAAAAACATTTTTTCAAATTTTCCACCTTTTTAATAATAAAATAAATTATGAACGTTTCGGGGGGGGGAGGGGGTTGTGAGTTGTAACATATTGTAACAAGTGGGGGGAGGGGGGAGGGCGAAAAAAATCGTTTTTTTGCGTAACGTAATAAGTGAACGGCCCCTTTGGGTTAATCAGAAGTGATGGAGATTGAAGTTTTGGTTGTATTATGTTGGATTGTGAGTGGATGTTCATAAGCATCGAAAATCAGAACTTGATCTGTAACGAATTTAAAATACAAGACTATCTAGAAGCTACAGTTCTACGGATGTATCTCAAATAGGAATCGAACCCTAGTTAAATGATCTTACCACTTAGCTTTCAAGTTTGAGTTCAAAGATTTACTGTAATCACTTGGATTCCTAGTCTATTACCAATAAAATAAGATTAAACGTGACTAATCAACTCTACCTATGTACCTGCCATTATTGAAATAATTCTAACAATTCTAAAGAGAAAAGCTACACCATCCAAAAAAAATCACGAAAAAAAGTCAACTCATAATGGGGCCGTTCACTTATGACGTCCGACATTAAGGGGGGGAGGGTGGTCTAGAATTTTGTGACAGTTCAAACAATGGAAATTTTTTCTATAGAATTTTTGTGACAGAGGGGGGGGGGTCTAAAAATCAGGTTTTTTGATGGACGTCATAAGTGAACGACCACAAAACTGATCGAAATTAAACTAAAATTGACAATTCCAAATACTATGAGAGTCTCCCCAATGACACAAAAGCATTTACGCAAATATTTAACATATTTTTCTGTCGTATTTACCTGCCTCATCGTCATAGCACATTGGAATTGGTCAAAATAAATTCATCAAAAGTTTTATTATTAAAAATTTATTTATTTCATTTTGAATTGCTTATTCGTCAACAGAATAACAATGAACTATAGACGTACTCAAATATTGAATGAAAAATCAATTGTTATCGAATGCAGTCACAATATTAAGTCGAATATCCACAAAAGTAATAATTTATTTCGCGTGACATTTTGCAAGTTTTTACTTATTCAAGAAAAATTTCCATGTAAAGTATATTTTTTATGCTAGAGCTCTTTATAAAGAAAATAACCATCGTGTGCACTTAGCGGCGATATCTCTTTCAAAGTCAAAAATTGCTTCTTTTTTGTTCATGATTTCTTTTACGTCATGATTGAAGGTTGAACTGGAATATTTCCATACACACATTCACATTGTGATTTTGAAATCACTTCCTTTGATCATCTCGCGTATATGCTTGCATGTATGTTTCTTATGTCTAGAAGAAAAATGCTGAGAAATATTATAAATGAGTGGTTTTTAATTAACGAGTTTTGAGTTTACCACAACACTGCCTTTATGCTTATTATTCATCGACTATGAATGAAATGAATTTTTAATAAATTGCATTTGTGAAATATTGACAAAGAAGAAGTGAAATATGAACATAATAATGAGTGTGTCATTTGTTTGCAGTCAGGGGGATATCAGCTGTTGTGGATTGCTAGATTTTTATAAGATTTTCTTTAAATTGTAATTTTGTAGAATTTTCTAAACTTATTGGTACAAGTTTCTTACTCAATTCTACTCAAAGTTGATGCTCCCTTGCGATTCATCATTTATTTACATTTTAGTCAATGACTCGAAATCAAACAATGAACGTTCTGTATTCCATATTTCTCTTCAAACAAGGAAGTAACGTAATTTCTTTTTCTTTTGTTTATTCTTATAGTTTTATGCCACAAATTATTAATCACTCACTTTATGACGAGCTAAAAGCAGAAGAAACAACAATAGATCCACTATTTAAATCACCATTTGATACATCATCGGAGTTCTCATCACGATTTGATATGATTGGCGATGACCAAAATGATATCGATGAAAGTACATCGACTGAAGTGAGCATGGAACGAATGTTTAAAGAGAATGAAAATGAATTTAGAGACAATTCAACCAAAGAGGAACGTCATCGGATTGATGAGATCAAAATTGATGAAAAGATGATTTTGTATAGTTCAAGAAATCAAAGTTCACCAGCCAATCATAAAATGGATGAGAATGAAACAACAGAAACTGAAAGTGAGGAAATGGAAACAACAACCGTTACACAACTTCCATTGTCATCTTCAACGACGATGCCTTTGATGAATAAAAAAGGAAAGTATCTTGATCTGATGCCACCGGGTGAGGATAATATGAATACATCACTTCCAAATTCACCCGAAGTTTGGGCATTAGCATCCATGCGTGACGTAGAAGGAACAAGAAAACAATTCAATGATGATGATGAAAATTTAAATAATAGCGATGTTGAGTTATTGAATGTAAATATGATGAATAATACAGTCAAAAATCTACTCGACTTTAGTGAGATCGCCAAGTTCGATAATCATACGTCTGTTGAGAATTTGAATAAATCATCAACTGTAAACGACATCACGAGCTATGATGATGCCGCTGTAGCTGAGAATAAAGAAGTTTCCGTTTCGACGGCATCAATAGCAACATCGACAGTGAGGAGCACAATTGATGATAATCGGATAGAATTGGAGCATGAACACGTAGAATTTATTGCAAATAAATCTGAACCTGTTATTTCTAAAATCGATACAGAATTATTTGAGCCAACGAGTGATTTAAATAACACAACAAATAGTCATGATGATTTTGATGTTGAGCTCATAACACCATTAAGTAATAGCAATGATAACGGAAAGAATAAAAAACCAGAGAAACTAAAGCTTGCGGAATCAGATATAAATGAAACCACAACAGAATCAAGCGAGAAATTAACAACACCCGCAACATTATTTGATGAGGAAGCTACAACAATTGAAAGTGTCGGTAATACTGATGCAACAACAACGGTCAGTAGTATTGATGTGCTGATCGGCGAAGATCGTGACGATGAAAATGATGATGATGAAGAAGGTGCCGGTGATGTCTTTAAGCGAACAATAACTGAAATGCCGGACATGAAAACGGAAGAATTCACAACAGTTACAACTCAAATGCCGACAACAACGACTGAGAGATATTCAACAACACTTTATAGTGAGATTCCTACAACTACAACAACTGAACTACCAAAGACAACAACATTTGAAACTACAGCAGCAACCACTACAGAAATACCCACCACAAAATCAACTTTGGTTACTAAATCAATATCAATTAGAGTAGCTACAACCACAGAAGAACCAGAGACGGATATTCTTACAACTTTAAGTGACAGCAGTGAGATATTCTCGTCATCAAGCAACTATCCAACTTCAAGTGAATATTATGATGTATCAGCAAGCAGCAGTAGCCCTCCAATTGAAATTGCTGATGATGATAAATTCAAGTACAATACTTTGTTGCCCGAGACAACGACAAGTGCAACTACAATCACACAAGACACTTCGAGATCTGGCAAGAGTGGTGGAGCTGAAGAAGTAGGACTTCCAAAGGATGGAGATTTAAATAAACAGAGTTTGGATGGAGAATCGTCAGGCAGTAATATTGCAATTATTTCAATATCGATCAGCGTTGTTGTATTTGTAATTCTTGCGGCTGGAGGATTTGTAAGTATACACTTGTCTGTAATCTGATGCAAGTGCTGATACAAATACGTGAGGATGCGGTTTAAGTGACTTGCAACTTTATTAAGCGATTTGCATTCAAGGCTGCACTCATAAACGACAGGTTGTAACAAGCTATAAATATTTTTTTACTTCACAGATCTTCTTCAAGAAACGAAAGAAGCAATTGACTTATGGACAAAGATGTCGTCCAGTTGGACTAGATGCATACAGCTTGGATAATGTTTCAGTTTATAACAGCGTCAGAAGAAAGGCTAATGCACTTAGATTGTCGAAGAGATCTTATGGAAATTCTGCATTTGAAGATCCAGTAAGTTTGAAATAGTTATGCACATTCTTTATTTGTGGATGTACAGAAATATTATCTAAATTTTGAGATTTTCGCACTTATTAAAATTAGGTCAAAAATAATTTTCGAACAGAACAATAATTCAAAAATTAAAGCTTCAAATTGAATGTAATAACTGATCATTTAGAGATGGACTAATTCATCAATCAGCAATCATTAATTAGAGCTCTAACGAATTCTCTTAATCTTGATATTTTCAGAGCCTTCAAAGTAACGTTCTCGACTATCAATCACTCCAAGATTTCACGAAAAATAAAATATCGATTTATGAAGAGTTTAAGGAAATTCCCCAAGTATCTGTTCGTGTTGATGAGGTGCCTGAAAATTGTGAGGACAAGAACCGCTATGCGAATGTTGTTCCATTGCCTGAAACTCGTGTTCATTTGCAGAGATTGAATGATGATGAAAAGACGGAATACATTAATGCCAATTACGTCAAAGTAATTAATTCTATTATAAATATGAGCATTTTTAACGATTTTATTTCTCATTTAGGGTCCGAAAGATACTTCCAATTATTATATAGCAACACAAGCACCGCTCGAGAACACCGTTGGAGATTTTTGGCGCATGATATGGGAGCAAAATTCAAAAGTCATTGTTATGGTTACTGATCTTACGGAAAATGGAGTTGAGAGATGTGCTGAATATATTCCAGCATCAATCGTACTGGACAATACAATTACATTCGGTGATTTCCAAGTAACATTAAAAAGTCGCGAGGTTAAAGGAAAGTATGCAGTCTCACAGCTTCATGTGAAGAATTTAAAGACAAATACATGGAGAGAGATAATGCATTTATGGTATTCATGGCCAGAGACTGGCTGTCCAACAGATGAGTCAAGTGTTATATCAATGTTATTAGAAGCACGTGGTCATTTGAGAACCTCATTACCAGAGCAATTAGATGAGAATAGTAATGCGGAAAATAATAATAATGTAAATGATAAGGAGAAATTATCAACTTTAGATAAGACTAAGTCATTACAGAGAGTGCAAGGGTAAGGTTAACGTTATTACAAGTTTGAATTTCGAAAGTTAAAAATTCGAAAGTTGAAAACTTAATGTCGAAAGATAAATAATTTAAATTTTGAAAGTTTAAAATTTTAATTTCGAAAGTTAAAAATTTCAATTTCGAAAGTTGAAAATTTCAATTTCGAAAGTTAAAATTTAATTTCGAAAGTTAAAATTTAATTTCGAAAGTTAAAATTAATTTTCAAAAGAAAAAAATTCGAACTTCGTAAACATTTCTAATTTCCAAACTTATTTTTCTAGGCCACTTACTGTTCATTGCTCACCAGGTACAGGCCGTACCGGCACAATCATTGCATGTGATATAGTTCTACGTATGCTTGAAATCCCACCAAGACAAATTGATATTCCACAAATTGTCTATCACGTCAGACGTGGTCGTGCAAATGCTGTGAGAACAAAAGATCAATATGAATTTATCTATAGCATCGCTAATGCTTACGCAATAAAGCTAAACACAGCTCCGACGGAATCATGAGAAAGGTTAATTTAAATTGAAATAATTTTATATTTAATGGAAATTTATGAAGGAATCAAGTATATATTTAGATAGGAATTAAAAAATGTGAGAAAAAAGTTCTTTTTATAAGACTTAACTGATAAAATATTGTAAATGGATACAGATGATATGAATGAAGGATGGCGAAGAGAAAGATTATTTAATGTGATATTTAAATTTATTATTGAGGAGTAGCTTTTTACAATTCTACGTCACAGGAAAACCTTTCAATATTATTTGTATTGTTATGTTGAGATAAAAAAAATAATGAAAATAAAAATCAGCCTTGTAAGCTATAAAATGAAGAATTTTGTGTTTTATTAGATTTGCCAGTTAAAATATTATATTAAGGATTGATTTTTTGTAAGATTTGATTAGGATTAGAGTTTCTTAAAGGTTTGTCCAGAATTAAACACTAGGATTTGAAGACGTAACTGACTGTGATTTAATTAGTCGAAAACAATCGATTGCACAGCACTGGAGGGATTGTTTCTCAAGTTACGTCACTGATACTGCTCAACTTGATTAAACCTAGTCAAAAATATCTCTAATATTTAAAGATTTAACTCTGTTATTGATAAAACAGGAATTTATAGTTAATATATTATCTATAAAAATCAAATTCTGACAATTTCAACTTACTTCAATATTTTACAGGCTTCAGTTCTCAGAAATTGCATCGATTTGGGAAAAAATATTTCACACAGTTTCTAGTTTCATGAGAATTCGACCAGTTTACACATTGTTAAGTATATCACCTACAACAAGTACACTCATTTTATCTAATCTTAAACAAAGATCGCACAACTTACTTGAATTCGATTACAAATCGATTCTACTGCTGTTTTCAGACGAACTTATTTTGCTCGATTCCAATTGAATGAGAGAATCAATGTGTGAATTATTAGTTCTTGAAATCATTTTATTAGCAATTTGTGATTTATGATTTAATTCGACTTCCATTTACTTTTAGAAATTGCAATTTTGTAGAATTAAGACGTATTATTAGATTTGAGTTCAGGTAGTAAACACGTCCGTGATGTGATAATGACTTTGATGAATAGCTACAGACTTTCAAAAGAACATTATAAATCCCGAACAATGCATATCAACAGAATGGCATCTGAAAAATTATAAACCATTAACACTTAACCAATAGATATCTGTGCTGCTAAGGTGATCTAAATGCTACTTTTTATTATCTCTGATCTCAATAAGCTGTAACGAATGTATGAAATAGAAACACAATAAAGTCTTTAGAGCTGATTTCTTTCTTTCCAGTTCATTCGTTGATCTATCAAAATGATTGCTTTATTGTCAAATCTTTGAAATTGCACAATTTCGTTGCTATCAATAAAAAAATTCAATTTACTTAAAAATTGTTATTAAAAATGTTTACTTAAGGCTAATAAAATGTTTATAGGGGGCTTGTGGGGTTATATTGGTGAATTTTTAGCACATTTATGACATAAGGTGGATGTGGAAAATTTCGTAAATTGCATAACAAAGTTCTAAACATTCTCGGTGCACCAATAGTATTTTCCATTATCAACCTTATGTCAAATCTTTCAACCTCATCCTCAAAAATCTCATTCAATCTTCAATTCACCTCAAAACCCATCAAACCCGTCAATCTTAAAATATAAAAAATTTCAATCGATTTTTTTTTTGTTCACTCAACGATTAATGTATAAAAACGTTTATTATTATTAAGTTTAGTAATTATTTTACATACATCATATGACTAGATGTGGATACTAAAAAAATTTTTTTCCATCATTTTATTAAAATAGTTGAGACAAACTACGTATCACATCTGTATTAAAAACTAGTGTTATTTATAAAAACTCTTTGTTAGAATATTTATGATTTAATAACTTGTTCGATTCTTCCTTGGAAGTTTATCTTTTTTTTGGCAAAAATTGGTCTTTAGAAGTTTTTTTTATTAGTAGTAATAAATTTGTTCTTTTTTTTGGTCTGAAGGGGGTTTGTTGAACAGGATTGAACGTTTTTATGGAAGCACTTTTGATTCTTTTGATTTTAGTATGTTTGTGCAATCAATTTTACAGTTATGAATTAATTTTGATCTAATCTTATCTGAATCTTCTTGATCTTAGTCCTGAACTTCTTAAGTATATAGCTTACTATCTTGTTAAAACCTAGCACATCTTCTAACATGATTCTAAAAATCTTCTATCAATAAACATCAACCTCTGACTGTAAAAACTCAAATTCCTTCTTACAGGACCAATTCCTCTTCCCTTAAATCATGATAAACTCTTCCTAATTCAACAAACTGCTCAAAAACATCTTGTTCAACAAATAAAATTTTCCTTAATTCTTCACATTTTGTTCACAAAAAATGAACAAATGAAAAAACTTAAATATCTAAAATAGTGTTGGTGGTGCATACTGAATTTCATGATGATTATACACTTTACAAAACAATAAATTTTATACAGTAGATATGAAGAAAATGAGAATAGTTTAAAAAAGAAGTTGATTTATTTCTTTGGGAGATTATTGAAGGAGGGGTGCTGGATGCTGTTAAAATGATTTAAATGGGTTTAAGGAGGGTTCGTTTAAACTTGGTTTACCAGATATTCACTTGAGTTAAACCTCAACTGAATCACACAGAGCTCAAATGATTTCCATGCTGTTTGGATTTTATTTGGGAACTGGACAGGAGATTTAGGTTTGTAAATGTAAAGTTAATCTTTTTAATTTTATATTGACTCTAGTAAGGATCATTAATGTAATATTATTGAACAATTTCATATAATTAGGATAAGAAAATGAAAATTATGGAAATTTCTAAAGGATTATCAGTTCTGATGCAAAACAAAATTTAAAATCAGACCAAAGAAGTTAAAAAATCATATTTAATGCATTATTACTAAGAAGACCCTACAATCATCCTATATATTACAGCACATAGCCAACACTCTACTCCCACTATAATCTCCTAAAGAAACAACATCATAAAGGAACACAAATGTATTATTATTATTATTTTAAGTACTTGAATTCTCATTGAGAACCTTGAGTTTACTTAAAAATAAAATTAAATCTAAAGTAAATTTGTTCCTGTTTTTTTGATATCAAATGTAGTGGATTAATTTGTTCCAAAGACAATTTGTGTGTTACTTTAAATATCCAAGTCTTCCCATTCCTCTTTCTGTCTGTCTGAAATCTCAATTTTAAAGTTTACTTTAGCAGTTTTAATAATATCGTAGCAAATCCCAGTCAATGGATTCCATCGAAGATCAACGAGTTCCAATGCATTATTTTGATAATCCAGAAGATCAAAATCAATTTCAATAATTTTATTTGTGTTTGCGTTGAGTTTTTTGAGCTTTTTCATTTTAAATATAACAGATGGAAGTGAGAGGAAGCTGTTGTGTGAGATGTCTAATGATTCAAGTGATGCTAAATCGGAGAGCTCATCGGGTAACTTTGCCATTTGATTGTGTGATAAATTCAGTTCTAAAAATAAACATTTTTTTTTTTGGTGAAATTTGAGAGAAAAAAACGTGATTTTCATGCTAGGGTTCCATACCTGTAATCAAGTTGAATTTGACAGCGAATTTAGGTGGAATTTTTGTTATCACATTTCCACTTAAATCACAGCTTTTCAGCTCAGTATGACGCATGAGATGAAATACTGCATCAGGTACTTGAATTAATGAGCATTCTGACAAATCTGCAAAGACATATAATTCATAAGTATTGCAATTTATGAATAAATCTTAAGTTCTGTTAATGACCTAAATGCTGGTCTTCACTATCAATACAACGTCTTGCTACTAGTGCTGCTTGATAAGCCATAATTCTTTTTTATCATAAATATTAAAATTTAATTTTATAGCTTTTAAAAATTTATTTTTGCAGGCAGGAAAAAGAATATCGAAATTTTCTGTGTTTATGTTAGAGACTATGATGATCATATGTTCGATAAATCTTCTTCTGTATGTGTAACAACATTGAAACTTAAAATCATATTCAAAGCTTTGAATGCGAAAGAAAATTCAAACTGCACGTGTTTAAGATTGCGTCGTAATTTAAGAATCTACAGTTTAAGGTCCACACACATAATCAGAACATTTTTAAAAATTTCCGCATCATTCTGAATTTTTTAAGAACGTAAAAAATGAAAAATTAAACGTAAATTGATGCTTTTTATGATGACTTCTTTTGATATTTTACGTTTGTTCTTTAAAGAGAAATATGTAAACATGACAATATATTGTCGGAATTATTAATATCGCTCGACTTAGCTGCTTGAATGTGAATATAAATTGTATTATTTTAAAATTGGACTTACTTTAATTAATTGGAATTAACAATTGTTGGAGAATTATTGAGGCAATTAATTGTGATCATTAAACTTTTCAGACTATAGAAAAAGTTTGGAGACACAATTTATGTGAATTTAATAGTTTTATTTATTGGTTATGAGGTAGAACAATCACCTGCTAGCACTCAAAAGTGAGTGAATTGCTAGGCTAGGTGCATCTGTCCTTGGAGATCGCAATTCTGATTCAAGTTTTGATTGGGATTCGAACTCGAGTCAGTTCAAGATAGAGATTTTCGAATTCAGGGCTTGTATCCTAATCACTAGACCACAAGGACTTTTCTGATAGACACTGACAAGTTTGCACTTGTCTGGACAGTTAAATATTCCTAAACTCACAGGGACAGATTTAAAAAATTGGTTTTATTGGATTTTTGATCTCTTTTAATGCTGTTCTGGGAAAAGGCTTCGTATTCCTTTTATTTTGCTAAGTCAGTATAAACAGATTAATAACAATTTAATAAATATCAAAAATGTATGTTTAATGCACACATAGAACCTAAGCAAGCACATGCTTTGAATTAAGCTAATAAGTCACTCCTCTATTTTCTATTTGTACTACTGGAATCAGTTGACTCTGAATAGTCTTAAACAAATACCAATAAATATATTCGTATCAAATTATTTGATCTTAAACTTGCGCTACTTTTCTTCCTCCTTTTAATTGCGCACTTTCCCCCTTTGTCATTTTTATATAATAGATAAGATTTAAGTCTGTAAGTCTAGGTAGATAAAAGCTTGTTTGAAATGTCTATTGGATTGTTCCATTAAAGCGAATAATTTTAATGATTTTTGAGTATTTGCAAGTTTTTATCCAAGAATTAGTCTTTTGAGTTGAAAGGCAAATCCTCTAAAACCCTGTAGGTGTCACATCTTGTGCTGTCTTCAATAACCTTTATTAAAATGTAATAAATTCTATTTTAATAGAGTTCAGATCTTCAAAATTAAAATCATCAAAATCTCATTGTTTTGCTGCTTCAAACATGTATGAATCTTGTCTAATTTCACCTAATCTACCAAAATTACAAGTGAAACATCTAAAGCTGTTAATAATAACAATTTTCTACTTAAAAATCATAATACAACGCAACGCAGAAACAAACAATTATTATGATATTAAACAGAAACGAAGACTATAAACAACGAGATAGTCAATAATGACTGAATAAATTAAAGTTCTTGCTATCGTAATTACTCCCTTAAGCGGATTCTATAGCTGCATTAGCCAACGTGTTGTAAAAAAGTGCAAAACTTTCCACAATCATAATCTTTTATAAGTTATTGGTTGAGGAAGAAGCAGCCTTTATCCATTCAAGTAAATTAATGATGAAGAACAAAGAAATTCTTGTAATGTATACAGTCATATTAATTATTATTACAGTGCAAAGAAACACATTTCACAATTTATTTAATTTTTACGTTATTTATAAGCTGCAAATATCTGACAATTTTCATCGTCACTAAACATCATCATTATTATTTTCATACGAAATGACTGAGGAAATTTTCCCATTACTCTCGTGCTGCGGCATGGCTGTTTAACTTTTCTCGCATGGCCACTATTTACATCGCTTTTTGGAAAATTTGCGTCTTTTGAAAATTCTGTTCCCATTCAGGCGTAAAATTAATTTTGAAGCTGTGCCAAAAAGATTATTTCCAATGCTATACGAGAGAGGAAGTGAAACAAGAGATCGGACAAAGGAAAGGAAAAAGATCGCGGAAAAGTATTTGCGACTCAAGACTTTTTTTTTTCATGCCATATTTTCCGACTATCAGTGCCAATATGCCTTTAAAATCTAAACAAAACAAAAAACTTCTACATGATTTATTACTAAAATAATATAATTGTGTTATTAACGTATGAGACAGCATGGCGACACCTTATAAAAATATAATTTTCTTGATAACATTTGGCAGTGCTTCAAGAAATAATTAGAAGCGACTATTGAACTTTGATATTTCAAGTTTCACCTGACTTAGTGTCGTATGTATAACGTGATTGAAAAATTGGATGTCATTCAACTTTCTTTGCGTAGATGAAAGTTTGTGAGAATTTATAGCATTGTAAGGTGGATATGTGATTTATTGAGCAATTAGCAGTTAAAGCGCGGGTAGATTTTTAATTAGGAATGTCTATTAGTCATAATGTTGTAGATAATTAGATTTATGGGAAGTTTTAATGACTAATTGTTGAGTTATTGTCGATATTATTAAAAACCCTTGATTGTAATTATTGGGTCACGATATTGTTAATTATTAGGTTGATAAGGAACGAGATATGATGAAATAGAATTGTTTTGTGGTTTTTATGGTTTAGTCTGGATTTCTAGTTGATGCACAACTTTCTGATTATTTTTGAAAAGAATTTGTTCTTGGGATCTATTAGGAAGTACTGAATCTCTGTCCCGAACAGCATAATTTTAAATGTTGTCCATTAAACTGATGGAGTAGGAACCAAACTCTAAATTTTGATGAACCTTGGATGAACCCAGATCATAACAAATGTTAAACATCTCTCAAATCCATCCACAGACCCAATATAATAACCTTTTAATTTGTTTCGTCAAAAGTTTGTTTATCAACTCCACTTGAAACGCCACAATAATAAACAATGAAATGATTTCATACTTCCATTAATATCAATCAATCAATTGAATCGCGTAAAAAAGTTTAACGATCCACAAAAAAAAAGTTTATGCCCAGACAATTTCATTAACTTCTTGAAAATTCTGCGTAGATAGACAAAACATTCATGTCTTCATTTTTTTGTACATTTACACCATGCGGTTCGAAGAAATTGCATGAACAGTCATCCAAGCGTTCATTAATTACAAAAGGAAAGAAAGAAATTCTCGCACATATGTTTTTCATTCAATTCTTCTTCTCACGAATGTGTAAATGTTTATATGCAATATATTAAAAAAAAATAAATTGTGTCGTAAATAGCCCTCGGTATTAATAACCCAAATTCATCGTGCCTCAACTCGCTCGCTATGTCAATTGCCTAATTTTCCGACAGAAAACTCTTGAAACATTGCTCGCAACAATGAGTTTTGAGTTATTCCAAATTGGAAAATACACGTACAAGTGAAGCTTTGTGCATGTTTGTCAGTGTGTCTATTGGCAATTACAATTTTTGTTTTCATTAGTTTATTTCTTCTGGCCTCCTCAATCATTCACATAATCATTTAATATTACTGTTTTTGCGCCTTATATTTTATTTTCGAAACTAGTGTAATTTTGTTGTGTTGATGTAAACTAGTAAAGAAGGTGATGATTGGGTGATTGTGGCGCATTTACATGCGATTTACATGCTGAAGCTATGAGCAATGCTAGATGTAAATTCGATAATTTAAACTAGCTTAAGTAGAGGCATCAGAGCCATCTTGACTATGTTATTTCATGTGATATTTCAATGTACGAGCTCACAAGCTAGATAACATGTTATTAATCAGATCAGCAGCAATCCTCTAGTGTTCTTTTTTAGAGCCACCTGAGGCATTCTACTCTTGCATTAGAACATTTTAATTTGAAATAATTCGGGTTTCATCTCTAGGAGTAGGATGGATGCATCAAGGAGTCGTAGAAACGAATCACAGGCACAGGTTTCTAAGGCTATTCAGGGAAACCAAACATAATCGATTTTTAAGAATGTAGATACCAGTAGATACCATCAGTAGCTAGTAGTAGCTAGTCAATCTACCACCCAGCCACCCAGACAGACACTCAAAATTCAATAAAAATTACGAAAAAATTTAATTCAGCACCAGAAAGTGCATAAGAAAATAATAACAGTCTCTCTCAAAAAATTAAAATAATTTCGTGGCACATTACATGTTTCATTAAAATATTTTAATCAGCTTATAAGTGGTAATTATGTGAGCACATCGCTAGAAAAAATGGCACACTTTATATGCGATTTATTGATATTATCATTACCATCAGCTGTAGTTGCTTCTGTGTGTGCGAATAAATTTTCATTGTCTTCACCTTTGTTTGCTCACGTTGCAATATTTTTTGTAAGAGACGTAATGACTGAATTGGCGTAAATTCTATTGAGTGGGAACTTTAATGATGCAGAAAAAAAGTTGTTTAATTTTGGATGGATTAATTCAGAACTAGAGCAATGACCTAGCTCAATATCAACATGTGATCGTTGTTTATAAGCTCACATCTGTGTCTATTAAGTGAGCATAAGAAACTAGTTTTGAAATCAAAAAAGTATGGGATGTGAAGAAGTTGCAGATTTTTTTAATGAATTGGTTTGTCTGCTTGCTGAAACTTTTTTTTGAAGGTTTTTAAATGCAAGCTTAATAATAATTGGAAGCACATTGTTTAAGCTTGAGCTGCTGAATTGTACTGGAATTTATTTTTAAGCAAGCTAAAAATACGAAGATTTAAAATTAAAATTTAATTCAAAGTTGATCTCCTTTCTGAGTTCATGAAACAAAGGACGAGGATTTCTGCGCATCGAATTTCATCACTTCATTCGATTCATTTCACATTCATATTGATGTAATAAAAAAACTGTCACTTTGTAGCTGAAGATGCCGCATCGTAGTTTTATTTTGATCTCGGATGTTTTTGAACTTGATATTTAATGAAACATTTATTAATAGAGTGTGAAAAGGGTAGATTGAGGTATCCTGGAAAGCATCATAAACCGGTCAAAGAACCTCATCCCATTCTTAACCCCTAATCCAAGATTGAATCCCTTGCCCTTCGTAAAAAAATTGTATCTATTCATTTAATAAACTAAGGTCACAATCGACAGTCACTTGAGTATGTCGAACAACGATAAGGAAGTCAAGAACCTATCAATAGAACCTCCCTCCTTCCTCCCACCACCCAACATTTCTAAAACAAATCCATTTTATTTTTGAACCTCCTGGAATCTCCAAGAATTCCATCCATTTCCAAGCATCCATAAGTCAGATAAATCAACTCGCCAACATTTCAACTCTGCACAATATCCACACATGATTTATTGACAGATACTAAGTGTTCTTAATAAAATTTTAAAAATCCTTGCCTTGAATGCTGATTTTTAATGCTCGATATAATATTTTCATATTAAATTGGAATAACAATTTGATTGAAATCAAGTGGAATTAGAAATTTATATATGCTTAACTCGAAGGTCTTGACAATAGACAAGACAAGAGGCAGTGCAGACTCTTATGCAATTTACTTAATTTTATATTCATGTTTTCAAGTCTCTCACGATAATCGATAAAACTAATAATAAATTTGCAAATCAAATGCACAAGCGATTATTATCGCGATGTCTGTTACATAAAGTTGTAATGAGCAAGAAGCATGCATTTCCGTAGAGCAGCAGCAGCAGTAACTTAGATTTATGGCAGTAGTTTAATATCACAATTTTCTTTTCTTTGTCGTTTGTTTTATTTTTTTAACATTTTTACAAAGCAGGAAGTTTCACTTTTCTTTCGGCGCTAACCAGCTTGTGACGACAATTATATTGTAGCTCGCTACTCACCTAAATTATTATTTTCTTTAGCATCTTCACATCTCGATACAACACGAATGATTCCCTTGCCAGCAATTGTGGCAACTGGAGTTGCACCATTCTGTGTTAATCTGTCAATAATGTGATTATTATTGCGATTATTATTTCCATCATCGTCATTATTCCCATTTCCTGAGTTTTGGGTGTTTGTGATGTCGTTTCCAAAGAGTGGTCTCATATTTAATTATTTTATTTTTATTTGAATTGCACTAAAAACCTTGAGAATATTTTCACTTCCTTTGACTTTTCCTTTCTCAACTAATTAATTAATCTATATTCAATTATTAATATTTTTTTATTTCTCTCAGATTTCCTACTTTTCACTTGAAAGATTCAAACAAGACTGAATTTGACTTGGTAGCCTGCAAGATTTTCTGCCTTATAGAAATGAAAATATTAGTTTATAGTTATTCGCGTTTACTACGTCGTGTATATGAACATTTTCTTGTGATATTCTTTTTTTTTTGCTGTATACACAAACAGCTGATTTTTACTATAACGCATTTATATGTCAGATGTAACGGAGCGAGATAGCATTAAAACAATCTTTACTTTTGATTCTTTGTTGTGACTGCATCAACACAATACATGCTTAGCTTAGTTCCATTTGTATTGGATATTATTTTCATAAGTATGGATATACATGCGTAATTTGTTATTATTACGATTTTTTTTTTGTAGCAATACGAGTTTTTGTGTCTTTTGTTCAGTTTTCCGGAAGTTTGCTGAACCGAAAGATTTTTCTATTGAACTTCAGGAACAAAGGGGTGATCTTGGGATGCAGGATTTCCCTACGGTCATTTAATTGACAAAAAGCTACTTTTGTGCGTTCACCTTAATTAAGAATTAATATGTCATAAAGAATTGAGGTGGGCAGTAAGAATAATGAAAAAATTTTCCACATGTGAGTCAGAATTTAAATGACTTAGGGTCATTGTTATTAGTATATTGATTCCTGGTGACTTGTTGTCTATCAAAAAGACTGCTAAGCTCATCAAAACTTGATGATATAATTAATATTGATTATTTAAATCAATATGTAATGTTTTATTATTTACATTAAGTTTGCACTTCTGTGCAGGCACTTCAAAAGGAAATAATGTTGATGTATTCACTTTGTAGACACATCTGGATGATTTTGTAGGTTTTTGATGTGTTTATCGTTTTGGGAAGTTGAACTAGTTTAAAGCTTTTGATTATTTTTTTTAAATATTAGTGGTGCTGCTATTTTAATCACGTTAAGAGTAAGGAAAAGATTTTATAAATGATACTTAAGTTTCAATTTGAAATTGATAGCTTGGGTCGGTTTTAAGAGCTTTTTAGGAGCAAGGGTCCGGAATTGTAACTTAGAATGAAAGTTATTGTATTCATTGGTCAAAATTTAATAATATAAAAGCCTTTGTTTGGCTTTCTGTCATTCCGCTTTAAGCAACGCCCACTTTCATACAAGTTTTCAAAATGGTGGAATCCAAAATGGCCAAATCCAAAATGGCGATTATTTTGATCTCCATATAAACCTAAACGATCCAAATAGTAAACTGTATTTCTCAAAAGATTTTAAATACTGCCCGTAATTTATCATACCAGTTTACATTTCATACTCAGAAGTTTTCTTTAAATTCTTTCAAAAAATGTGTTGATTCTTTCCATTTGACACAATTCATCAACATTGCGTGCTTATTTTTAAAATTTAACTCATTACGTCTAATGAATCATCATTTACAGAGAATGTTGAACTACAAAATTTGTCTTAATTACAAATAAAAATCTGAATTGATTTGTTTAGTCAAGTAAAGAACAAACCACAAATAATCAAATTGACCGAACAAATCAAGTTGCAATCTATATCTAATGCGGATCTATTTGATCTAAACCACCTCTAACAACAATCTAAAAGCTTATTCACCCAACTTCTCTTAATAACCCGCACCAATTTTAAGACAAACACACTCTGCAATTACATCGTTGTCTAAAAATAATTTATCCTTTGCCTTGACTCATGCACATCCGAGATTTTCCTTAAAAAATTGTAAAAGTCATAAAATATTCATTAGCAAACACGCCTTGCTTTTTTTTACAGTTTCACTATTATTAGCTTTGAAAGCTATGAAAGAATATTAACTTGTAAATGCTGGAGCAACTGATTGCCTTGAAAATTTACACATGAGTGACAGAATAATTCAATCTACAATTCTATATTGTCAATTGTTATTCTAATGTTTTGGAATAATTTATTAAAAAAATTTGCACAGCACGTGGTGTTTTTGAAGATAATTATAAATGCAATAATAAAGTTTTTAAAGCTATAACAAAGACGTTCATAATATTTAAGGTATCTGAGCGATTTGATGTCACATTTGAAGGTAATGAAACCATTGAAAAGGGTCCAATGTCGGTTACTGATGGCTTCTCAGGCTGTAAATTCCTGAATGTCAATTTTTGTGAAGCTTTCAATTTTTAATGACCCAAATTGTATGATGAAGGTAGTCTGGAGCTATAAAACACATTTAACAACTTCCTGGATTATTATTTTAAGAAAAGCATCCAAAAATTTTGTCGAGGAATGTTCAAAAATTCAGGAAAAGGTCGACAAAACTTTCTAGGTCAGGATGTAAAAATGCACAATGAGTAATTAATTTTTCAAATACCTATTAATGTCATTTCCCGAATTATTCAAGTCAATTCACTTACGAGTCCCGATTAATACACGAAGTTCGCAATCGAAATAATTTACGCATTAAAAAATTCAGCACAATAACAAACCAGAAATGAAAGATTTTTAAATATTATAAGAACTCACGCTCAGCAATAATTGGCGCAAAAAAATCAAAACATTTCAAATCTTCCATAATTTATGTTCAAACATCAATAATGACGCAAATACCTGCATGAACATAATATTTGAGAATTTAAAAATTTAAATGGATTTCCTACAAAATGAAAATTGGGCTGCAATGTTCATTAAATTCCGAAGAAATATTTCACCATGGAATGACTTAATGAAATGCATCAAAACTTGGTACAGATTATGGCCAATTGTAAAAGAAATGATATAATGCGTAGATATTAAGCAAAACATTACGGGGCAGTTCACTTATGACGTCCAGGGAGGGGGGGTCAGCAAGAAAAAAACAATAGAAATTCCTGGAAATCAATTATTCAGTTTTTTGAAAAATGACCGTTAATTTCGGACGTCATAAGTGAACGACCCCTACGGTAAATATTACTTTCTTCCATCTCTCTTTCTCGTTCAAATTATAAACTTTGCGTGATTTTTGACAATAAAAGAAAACGAAGCGAAGCGTTTGATGTCGGCAAGAATGTAAATTTCTTTAGTGTCTGTAAAATTTAAATGGCATAAAAGAAATGTTTGTCTTTGTATTGATAAAATCTTTATTTACTTCAATTCCACGATTTTATACTTCAAATATAGTTTAAAACTTAATTGTAGTTATTCATTGTTTTTCTTTCTTTCATTTAAAAAAAATGCTGCTTCTTCATAAGAAACATATAAGAACTATAAACCACAATAATATTTTTTTATTTACTTACAATTATATAATTTTTCATCATATTTAATACAAAAAAAATTATTTTCATGTGTTGTTTTTTTGGGGTTTTGCGACTTTAATTGATACTTTAATGCAAATTGTCTGACTCCCAATATCATAAGGTACTACTAAATTATTAATTGTCTTACTATTTTAACTTTTAAGTTAAATACTATTTATGTATAATTTATGAGAAAACATAAGCTTCGTAATTATTATGGATAGATATATTGCATTAAGGTAAATAAATAAGTAATAAATAAGTCTAGCATTCAATATTGCAGCAAAGGTCATAAATCATAGTTTTTTGTTTTACTTTTTAATGAGCTATAATTAATTCTTTCTTGTAAAATTGAGCCTTAAATCTTTTTATGAATTTCACTGGAAAATTCAAAGAAATTTTATGTTCAGTTCTCATGTTAGGATCATGGATTATTGCTACCGAATGGCATAAATCGGCTAATCAATCAGAAATCCGGCACCAAGCCAAGGTGACTCTGGCACGATTTTGGATTTAAATAGAAGCCATACCAGCTTAGAGCAGAATTTTTATTCAATTAATCGACTTGTGTAATTTTGGTAAGATTAGCTACATAAAGCGCTGGAAGTTACTGAATTACAGATAATTTCAACCTTGCTCGTTATCTGAGGTCATAAACTTGAGCTTTGATTGAGCTTAGGGGTCATTATTTTAGCTATAAATAGGTTCAAAGTGGAGCTCAATGGTCTAAGTCCGTCTTCAAGGGATATGCTGGGCATTCTACTATAGTTACAGTAGGAATATAGAAAGTAGACATGAAAAAACCAGCAACGAGTTCAAGACACAGATAATGTCTTACTTAAATTACTTCTTCTATGGCCGAACAGATCAATTGTGATCCATTGCCTCCCTTAGATGACGAATGAAGTTGGCTCTAACGCAGGCTACCGCTTGCCATTTACCAATCCCAAGTGTAATGCTGTCTCTGTCAACAGCTTCTCTCCAAGAGTTCTTAAGACAGGGATAGGATTTGAACCGTAATCGACAAACAGCTTTGATAGAATGTGATTGAGTAACAAATCGATAATTTTCTTTTAACACTTATTTCACTTTATTGTGTTCCACTAATTAAACCATAAGGGGAGGTTTTAGAAAAATTGTAACAAGACGTGTTAACTCGATCACGATACGAAGGGAAAGAACTTTTTACTTCTAATTGCTTGGTATTTCTCAAGCTCAAAAAAGATGCGAAACTTCTAATCGTAAATGATCGTTACAAATGTGTATATATTACTTAAAGATTCCTTTTGCTATCAATAATTACTTATAAATATGCATGAAATATGCATGTACATTGTAAATTTAATATAGCACTAAAAGAATTACTATTTTACTTTAAACTCTTGAAATTAACTGTTGATTTTATATAATTCTGTCGTTCGCTTAACGACATCCTCGCGCGCCCCAGAAGATCACTTGTCCTGTGGCTTTGAAAGTATTTCATCTTCGTCTAGTTGTACCTCCTTGTTGGTTACTGAACTGTTCTCTTCATCTGATGACGATGAACTTGAAGACGAATCGCTGCTTTGTTTCGGCTTCTTCTTCGGTTTGCCGTAATTGTATTCACTCTTACCACGATGAAGAGTAATATGATGTTTTGCTGAACATCTTGTAGATTTATCTACTTTAAATCCACAACTTCGTTTGACATCACAATCCTTTGCAAAATGCTGCGTTGATAATAAGCAGTTTATGCATAAATGTTTAGTCCTAACGGTGTTATACCTTTCATCCATTTTCATTTCACGATAAGTCTTGCACTCTACAGTGTAATGATTGGTACCTGAGCAAATTTCACACTTCTTTGGAATTTCCTTCACTTTCTCTAAGTTGTATCCTAAGTATGTTGCTGTCTGATTATCTCTGATCTCGTATTTGTAGTCATCTGAATTATATGACGAACCTTGGAATGTGTTGTTGCTGCATGATGCTGTCATCATTTGATAATCCTTCTCTTTATTCTTGCTTCCTTTATCATCCTCAAATTTGAACTGTCCTAACGGAAGTGTTTTTGAAAGATTGTTCAAAAACTCAAACTGAACGTCCAATCGTTCCATTCTTGTAATGGCCTTTGGATTCTTTTCATAAAAGAATTTGTAATATAACTCTTGATGATACGGTTCAAGCTGCATGTGAAGTTTTGATGAAATGCTTGTGTCTGCTATTGTTATTCCAGCATAACTGCATGCTGCCATAAAGTTTGCTATTCTTGTTGTTACTTCAACACATGATGCATGAGTTAAGGGTTTGGATAATTTAGCACTCATCAACTTTGAGCGAGCACTCTCTACAACAATCGATGCATTCCCAAAACTATCCTTCAAATAATCCATAAGTCTCTGTGATGACATATTCAGATATAAACTATCAACACGTGCTAGGGCTTGTCCCGTTAATGCTTGTCTGATGTGAGACTTTATTTGGTCATCAGTATATTCTCCTTCTTTCCAGTTCCTCATAACTGCTCTTTCAAACGTCAACCATCTTTCAGGATTTCCGTCAAACTTTTCAATCTTTGGTAAGTTACGACGAATTTCATTCAACGACAGCTTGTTGAGCTGCCTCAAAGTTGTTTCAATGTGACTCTCATTGTCACTTATTTCCGGTGGATGTGATGAAGGTTTCTGAATTGCTTCGTTGCTAGTTGATCCTCCAATCATTTCCTCAATTACTTGACTTGATCTTTTAATTTCATCATCAATGCGCGTAGATGCTTTATTTGCATTTAACACCGCATTTGTGAATGATGTATATTGTGGCCTTAATGACTCTACTGTACCTTGTGCGATTCTACTTGGACTTGCTCCAAGCAAACCTGCATTTTGTGATGACTTTAGTAATTCCATTATTTGAGTAAGTTGATCTGACTGCGCTATTACCAGATTCCTTAATTCCTTGTTGGACTTCTTAATGGACTTATATTTCCTTTGTAACTTGCTTACATCGGTCCTCAGATTTTTTGATACTACGCTACCATTAGCATCAATATGTACAGTCCCTTCAACATATTCATCAGCACTTGAATCTGATGACTCTTCTTCGCGTACATTGACTTTGATATAGCATTTGATTCTCTCATCAAATGACAATGTATGAGTTCCTGCGCTGACTAAGCCTTGTGCGTCAGCATTCATGGGATTCCTCAAACATTTCGCACACATCCATGGAAGTTGTTGTTCAGTTACAGCAGCAAAATCAGTTCCGGAACAGCGTAAGTGATAAACATTATCACACGTTATGCATAGCACCATCTTTTGTAAATCCTCATATTCACGTTCAGATTGCTGGGCCGCGAACCATTTGCAGTCATTATCTAAACCGCATCTAGCATTTTCTCTCATTAATTGAATGCAGAAAATATAATTGTTTACGACTTTGCTCGTCGCATATTTTGCACGATACTGTGCCTTAGCATCAGGAACACTGATAAAATGTTGAGCTAAACTTCCGAGTTCTTCAGCACTTGTCATGATGCTTGATGTTCTGATGTCTATTTAATGTAACTTTATAATCTTAAAGTGACTTGTTCACTTTTGCAAATTTGTATTGCGTTTCACAAACGACTTGATGACTATTTGCTACTTGTTAGCAATAAATGATAAGATGAAGATACAATTAACGTATTGCCGTCCTCAAATGCTTCCCTTCTACTTGAATTGATGCACTTTTATCTTAAGTGACTAATTGTTGCACTTGATATAGTGACTTCTAATGTTTCACCTTCTTGATGACTATTTGATGCGCCTTTCTTCTGACGACTTGAATGTTGCACTCTTGTAGTGACTAACTGATGCGTCCTTTGCTCGACGACTTAACTTGTTGCACCCTTTCGATGCCTAGCTGATGCACTTATCTCACAAGTGACTGACGATGCGTCTTTTGCTCGACGACTTCCTTGATGTCCAAACTGATTGTTTGGTGCCTGTTGTATGGCGGTAAGTCACCTCTTGTTTGGTGACTATAAATTTGAGTAAATTCGATGCAAATTTTGCCACTTGATTGGCTTGAAATGTGCCTCTTGATTGGCTTGCTGACCAGAAATTGATTGCCTCTGTAGCCTTGAACTTGATTGATTTGTTACTTGACAACAAATCAATATGAATGCACGAGGAAGAGAAAAACAAACAAAATGGTTAACTATTCTATTGTACTTACTACAGAGGTTACTGGATGTTGATTTCTGGCCAACTTATTCAATATAATGTGCTCTATTATGCTTCTGGATGTCGAATAATGCTCAATATGACGTCAAAGTAGAAAAGATTAACTTTTTGATGCCGAAATTATATCGCGTGACTTTTGCGAGACTAAATACGCGAGACTTCCACGTGTTTTATTCAAACTTAATCAATTTCCACTTATTCAACAGTTACAGCACTAAAATAACTAATTAATAGCCAATTCAAAGCTCTAAAGCATTAGCTTTCTTTTAATTTCTCAAATTAAGGTTAAGCACTAAATTTTTCTCAAATTTGTAAATTTTTCTAAAAGATGTGATTGAGTAACAAATCGATAATTTTCTTTTAACACTTATTTCACTTTATTGTGTTCCACTAATTAAACCATAAGGGGAGGTTTTAGAAAAATTGTAACAAGACGTGTTAACTCGATCACGATACGAAGGGAAAGAACTTTTTACTTCTAATTGCTTGGTATTTCTCAAGCTCAAAAAAGATGCGAAACTTCTAATCGTAAATGATCGTTACAAATGTGTATATATTACTTAAAGATTCCTTTTGCTATCAATAATTACTTATAAATATGCATGAAATATGCATGTACATTGTAAATTTAATATAGCACTAAAAGAATTACTATTTTACTTTAAACTCTTGAAATTAACTGTTGATTTTATATAATTCTGTCGTTCGCTTAACGACAATAGAATTTGAACCGTAAGCTTTGAGTTTACGATCGATTTCTTTAGTCAATGGATGATTATGTTAAGATGCCACCGATTCACTTACAACTTCAAAATAAATCAGATCAAATGTCTTTCATACCAAAAATAGATTCATAGTATCACAAAAATATCTATAGCATCATAAAAATACTCACAAATTCATTAAAATGAAAGTAAGATTAAGTATTATCATTATGCATGATCTCAGCAAGACCATAAAAAAATTCAATGACTCAATTTCCTACATCTATCAAATGACATGAAGGAATTATAAATAAAGTCTTTTTTTTGATTGCATTCTCATCACTACCAAGTATCAAATATTCTTAAAGCGGTTAAATTTATCATATTTTTAAAGTAGATTGTATGGATAGAGTCTAGAATTGTCACATGCAGATAGTCAGAAATATTCTTTATAATACGAAGAACATTATAGAGGAAAGGGGAATTACATATTGGATTGCGTATTTTGTAAGCCAGAACACAAATGTAGCATAATTACAGATAAAATTTGAAGCCTCTCTTCCGAGCGATCGTCAAGGGCATTGTTGCTAGCTGATAAGGATTTTTGTGCACTGTCGACATCTTTATTAGCAGATGCTTGTAATTTAAGTTTATTGTTGTGCTGGTAACTTGTTTCACAATCAAGAGCAACGCGCAATGTTGAAAGCTGTGAGATTGAAATAAAAATTGAATAAATTAATGAACTTCAGTGCTAAAGCATGTGGAAATGAGTGTCAGGGTTGGAGAGTGCAGGAAATTAACACATTGGTTAAGTGCTATAAGACCGGTTTGTGGCTATATCGCTAGGAAAGAGCAAATCTTAATTTTGCAGATTTTTGACCTGAGTTAATAGTAAACCAGGTAATCTGGCACTAAATATAGATCATAGCATAAAGACTGCTTTCCAGGATACCATTTCCTTGCTACATCACTGATTCGCCTGTTCATCTCTCCAAACTTAAATAAATAAACTAAGTACAACTTACTAATTGATTAATTTTGTTCAGCCTATCATCCGTATCATAATCAGCATACAAAAATTCAGCAGACGACTTTGCAACATCCATTAGATCATCCAAACTTCCCCATGACATTAATGGCTCAACTAAAAATCTAATTTCTTCACAGCTCATTTCCCTTCTTTCGACCGGTGCATGTTCCAATCGTTTCACAACTTCACTAAATGGATTCATGTTTTGAGTAATTGACTGCTTCCTGGATGGGGTGTGCTGAGGTGTTGGCGGTAAACTTTTACTATTTTGTGTCAATGACGATACAATTGTTGGTATATTCAAGTTATTTGCAGAATTTACTCTCTTAATTCCCTGTGCTAATAAATCACTGAATGATTGACGATGTCCTGCTAATTTATACGTATCTATAGCCTCATCAGCCACTTCAAAATACTCATCATCGCAATCAGCTGCCGTAACTTTAAATTCTGGTTGATGACCTTGCGATAAGTCATCAAAATCTCTCGACTCAACGAATCCACTGCAAACGGTTGACGATTGACACTTAACGATGCACTTTTTATGACAACACATTGAGCACTCGCGACATTGAACGGCATCTTTAAGCCAAATCTTTTTACCACAAAAATCACATTGTGTGGATCTGTTGAATTGTGTACGTATAAAGTCATGCTTTCTATTTGCCATAATTTCGCTCTTATCACTGTCTAGCTTGTCCTGTGATCCCAGATTCTCTAATTTCTTTGCATTTCTTTCTTCATTTGCTCTTTCTTGTTTTGGACTTAGACCTTCTTTAGGTAGTTCTGGATTCCATACAAAGCTCATACATGCATCACCGAAGCAGATCATTGGTGTGAATCCAGATTGTGCTGATAATTGATGATTTGAGACTTCTGGAACTTCCGGTGGATTAAACATGTACTTTTCAATATAAAGATTTGAATCACTGCACTCGGCAAGGACGTTATCAAGCGGTATATTAAGGTACGCCAAAAGCATATTGTCATTTTTCAGCGAACGTCCAAAAATGTTGACATTCAGGTATGAATATGGTGTAGTTTGACTTAAATAAAATATTGTTGAATCATTCATCTTAATGAAATTCGATATAGAGCAGTCAATAGTCGCATGTTGTTGTAATTGATTTGTTGTATGATGATGTGTTGGTGTCTTCTTTGGCGGTTCCTCGGTTACTTTCGTCTCATTATTGTGCTTTATTAAATTTTTCGCTTTATCAATAACTTTCCTTGGTGAATTTGATGGTGTGCTACTTATACTTGATTCGTTCGATGACGGTGGGTCTTTTGGTGTTGGTTTAGGTGCTGACGGAGGTCCATCACTTCCTCCAATTTGTACAGTATCGGAATTTTTCGAGAAACTTATATTAAACATATTAAAGTCTTCATAAACATCTATATAGTCTTCTGTGATGGAATCATTCTTGATGACACCGTTAATAGTTCTTTCAACTCTCATTGTGAATGCTGACTTATTCAGACTTTTTAATACTTTAGCAACATGATTGATGTGCATCACACGACGTCCCTCAATCGATAATAGAACATCGCCGCGTTTTAATTTAGCTACTGCTGCCGGTGTGTTTGGGATAATTGTTTCAATCAATATTTGATCGGGTGTTTGTTTAAAAATAATGCCAATTTGCTGATTCTTTGCTTTATGGATTTCTATGTCCAATATCATTGACAGATTATGTTCATCGAGTTGATTAGCAGTTACAAATGGATATCGTGAAAGTGTTAAGACACCATAAACTTGTGTTATATGAGCGGGATAATTTAATCGAGCTAATGTCCGAATCGTGACTTCCAATGTTCCGGATTGTTGAATTGGCATATCAATATCATCGTAAATGAGACGATTGAAGAATGGCTTAAAGCGTAGTTTGTAATTTGGCAATGTATGTTTACGTCGTATCGCTTTCTTTACAGCTGATGATATCAAGCTCGTTAAGTTCGACTGCATTTGACGTCCTTGAATTTGTGACTCAATTGGTAAATCTATCAGCGGTTCTGTTAGAAAACTCAATGACCAATGAGTAAATGGTTTACGTGTAAATTGAAGGCGTGCCTTTCCAGTTAATTGCTTTACTAAAATTGGAAATGAAAACTGATAAGAATTGAATAAAACAAAAATATTTTTTTTGGATTTACCTCGCATTGATAAGCTTCCCTTCTTTCCTAATACCATATCAGCATCGATTTTTAATAGAAAGTCTCCCTTGTAGTGTAAGTCCATGAGAATATCCAAACTCTCAATATGACCTTCAGTTTCATGGAGTTCAACATTTGATAGTTCTAGGCTTCTAATTTCAGGAAATTGACTCCCCAAATCTAGTTCGCTTATCTGTAAAGAATATTTAAAGATTTATTATAGCACTCAATTGATAATGTTGAGTCATCTTGTTGAGCATTACTCAATAGAATGTGATGCATCATAATATGATTAGGAATAATTCCCTCAAGCAACGATGACTCGTACATTTTATTACAAATGTAATAATCTTGTGAAATTTACTTGTTTATGAACTTATTACTTTTGTTTACAATGCGGCATTTTAGTGCCAAAATTGGCATTGAACTTTATTTTGTATTTATGATATTGACGCAAAAAGATGAAAATAAAATTTGCGCATCAATCTTTGATGGTTGAGTTTCGATGACATTATTGGTTCATTAAATCATTCATACTCCTTACTTAACTCTGCACTAGTCAAGCCTACCAAACCTTTACCGTACACCAGTGCTTCTCAAATTATACTCTACGAAATATTGACTTATACCCAACCACACCAACGTATGCCATACCCAACCTATACTCTACCTCAACCTCACCAATAGTCTTAATTCTATCTATGTCCTACATAAATTCTGACTCTAGCCCGTCTTACTCAAACCAAAGAGATGCCGTAACGCTACCCAAGCTGTCATAGTCTCATTCTACCTTTCCATGCTACACTACTCCCCAAAACAGAAATTTAATCTCTTAAACTTCATCAAACAAAACTCTTTCTCTTATTTCATAGACTCTTTCCAATGCTTTTTCATCCACCTCGTCTATCATCTGGCGAAAATCTCACAGAAAATTTCTCAAAAGACGTCATCACTTAAATCTACAGAAAATTATTACTTTTTTCTTTAGTTTGTCTCAAATTTTTTTCCATTCCAATTTCAATTGGCAAAAGAACTCATTCACTTAATTGCTGCATGTGGAAATAATTGCTACTAAAATAATTTAATCTGCTTTTCTTTTGTTCTGTTGAAAAAAAAGTATTGCGGTTGAAAGTCAAACAGTGTAATCGAGAACAGACAGTGGTGAAACTAGGGGCGAGATAGATGTGTTGCTTGAATTTTTTCAGTAAGGGAGGATCTCAAACCAGTTTCTAGAATTGAAAGTCGACGTCTGTCCAACACTTTGTGGTATAAATCAAATTGAATTCGTAAGGCATGTGTCCAATGTACCCCCAAAAACCAGGAGAAATACTGAACAATAATAAGCTAGTATTTTTTCACTTACGTCGCTGTTTCCCTTAATGCTCCTCTATTGCTTCACTATTGGGAGCGTTATTTGTGTCTATCAGCGTATGTGGATATCTAATACACTTTATAATTGGATTGATTTCTTGACCTTTTGATTTTCTATTTTATATAGGTCGAGTTGATTCTCACGGGCGAGGATCTTTTAGAAAATCGGAACATAAGTATTTTGGGGTCATTTGTGTATGATGTCTAGCTTTTTTAATAAAGATAGAAACTCAGAAGCCTTATGACAGCTGATGTGAATTTTTCTTTTGCGACGGGAAGTTTCAAGCTAATTTGTAAGGTCTGTAAGAGGCCTACAACCTTAAATCCTATTCAACCAGATATGATTAAGCATCAAAGACCATCTCAAACTTCACCCTTGAGCAGACTGCCTTATAATTCAGTATATTAAGTTCCTATGAATATCATTTCTTTAACAACCACTTGAGTAAATCTCAAACATTTCCAGTCTATTAACTTTCCATATTGTGTTTGTGAATTTAAATATCTTGTGACGTCAAGAGCCAGTCGTGACGAGTTTCATGGTCAAGAATCAATAACACTAAACATGCTAATTTCCTTATGTGAGAATTCATAAAACTTTTACGACTTAATTAAAAGCATTTTTGGCATTTACCGAAAGTTTTGAGAAGAATTTTCCAATCGTTGTCTTTGTGAGCAGCTCATCCAGCTCCAATGAGAGTTTACGTATGAACCATTTTCTAACTTGATTTGAATAACGGAGCTCAAAAAACAGAAACTGTAGAACTAAATTGACACTTTTAATTTGTGATGTTTTATCGTCGAGATTTGCTGCATTAAGTAGGCCATCCATTAAAGTCTACGAATATAAAACAAAGTAAGTATATATGCTTATAGAACCGAAAATATTTTACAAGGTATTCTTACTTCCGGCATGTGAAATTTTGAGCTCTTTTTACTCTCAGTCTGTACGTCAGTTTCATTAGTTTCGTCATTACTCAGTTTAAAGAACCTCATAAAAATGTAATACTGCAAGGAGAACAAAGAAGAAAGTCGAGTCTACAACAGATTAAAGTTCAAGATTCTTTTCTTACCTGTACAATAAGTGTAATTGTTGCACCGATTACTATCGAGATGAGGCAAAACAGGAAAAGATTTGAAATGTCGAGATTCATTTTTAATTTTATTTTTATTTTATTTTTTGCTTCAACGCCAGCCAAAATTCGTGTCACATTATCAGCACTGATTGATATTTTCGAGAGTAGACAAAAATTTCAAAATAACAAAAAATGAATTTTGGTGGATTTATTGAATTAAACACTGTGATTCATATTCTTTATGCTACACAAGCACACACTTGACTTGACTGCATGATGAATGAAAATTTATCGTATTTTTTTGATGAATTCTTAATCAATTTTTAATTTAAATCTCACAAAAAAAAACAAAAATTATCAAAACTTAAAAATATGTACGAAAATCGATATGAAGTTGTACGGAGTTTGCGCGACAATGACTTTGGCAACCACGTTTACAAATGATATTTTATTCTTGTTTTTTTCCTCTCTTTGCTTTTTACTCTATTCTTTCTTGTTGATTTCATTTCATTTGATTGTAGTTGAATTTTTAGAGACTTTTGCATTTGTATTTACCACAATAACATATAAAGATAAATGCTGAGTAATGATGATGACGATCAGTCAGAGAGAATTTTTTATAACAATAGGAAAAGAGAAATTTTGAGAGAGGAAAACAAAGAAATTTGATGATGAACATATGGGACTGGTAATGATGGTCTGTTGCTGTAAGATTTTAAAGGTCTACTGCCTTAATATTAAACTTTTTGCTGGATTATTGTCAAATGAATGTAATCTAGCAATGAAATCAACTCTTTTGTAGATTTCCACCAAAGGAGCATGCATGCTAGTTCTGAATTGCAGTTAAATCAAGTAAATCCTGTAAGTGAAATATTCAAATAATCAAAACAAATCAAATGAATTTAGTAAGTTTTCGTTTATTTATTATTTTCATCATTTTTAAAAAACGGGCTCGAAAGCAATGACATGATAATATTTTTCTCTCATTTTGTTTCATTTTTTTTTTGTTTCAAATATCTCTATAAATAAGAAAATGTCAAAAAAAATTTCATTAATTTTCAATTTTTTTTCTCATTATTTTTAAATAAATTTTACTTTGTCATAATGATAATAAATATAATTTAAAGTTTAACTATAATAAATTGTTTGTCTTTTTATGTTCCGCCGATGGAAATAAAAGATTCTTTTTTCACATTATTTAATTGAGAATTAGCAGCAGGAAGAAACTGAGATGATTTCTTTTGTGTATTTTTAATTTTAAATGAAAGAGTTTTTATCGAGATTAAAACGGCAGTTGTGATAGTTATGTCAATTTTTTTGTCTTGTAACTTATTTTTTCCCACTGCAGTAATTCCTCATTACAAATGTTTTTTGATGTGCATTCAGTTTCTTCATACAAAGTTGTTGCTTTCTTTGGTTATTTTTTTTGAGATTTTTTTTCTTAACTTTCTGTAACAAGATGAAAAGCTTTGATTTTTTTATATTTCATTTTTTTTTGTTTCTTTCATTCTTAAATACGAAATATGTAAATCTAAAAACAGAGAGATATTTTTTTATTAATCATTCTTTTATGTTTAGTCAGAACACAATATTTTGACTTTTTTCTTTTATTTACTTCTTCTTTAGTTTTATTGAACTTGGCAAGTTTAATTAAATGTTTTCTCATTTTACCAAGAATTGAAATTAACGGAATTTTTTTTCAGGAAGGGTTGAGAAGTTTTAGGGATTGAGAGGTCGTTAAATAGAATTAATCTGTGGTATAGAGCCATACTTATTTCAATTTATCCTGGATTGGTGGTTAAAAATATGCAAAATTTCCATTTTTTACCTTCAGCCAATCATCTTGGAGCTGTGTAGTTTAGATCCTAGAGATTTGTGACCTTAAAAATCGATTTTAACAGTGTTTAAGTGAATTATGCTCGGCAATGCATTTTGTGAACCATATTCTGAGCTACAGAAGCGTAGCTGGGAGGCAGGAGGTCAACGGAAAAACTACATTAAAAAATTCCGGCTTAACTCCTGCTCAGGGACGTAATTTTTAAATTATGTTTTATATGAGCTTTGATTTTCTTCCAGGGTGCTTAGTCCCCGTATGGCTCCTTGATTAAATGCCTGCCCCTGTCTCATTTTATTTTTTAAATTTTTAAAACCCATTAATTAAGATTAGAGTTGCAATTTTCAATTTTGTCATGAAAAATTACAACAAAAGTTTTTTAAACCCCCAACTTAATGCCCTTTAAAAAATTCTCAAACCCACCATCACAAAAAGCTATAAAAGGCAAAGAAATTTAATGTTTTTTAAAAACTCGTGAAAAAAGATTTTGAAAAGTAAAAGAATTTGTTTTTGAATTAATTTAACTATTTTATTTAATATTTTTTTTATCATTTAAATATAAATAGCTATTTTGTTGTCTTTTTTATTATAATTCATTATTAATTTATTTAATTTACTTAATTCGAACTATTAAAGTCATTTTTTTTTCATCTGGTAATTTATTAAATTTCATTTATCAACTGTAAAAATTTTTAGTTCTTCTTTTTTTGCTATGAATTTACTGTGTTGTTCATTTCTTTTTTAAATGTCTATCTACCTGAAAGTAAAAATTATTTTGCATTTCAACACTCAAATTTAATACTCTCGATTTATTTATTTTTCACGTTTTGAAAAATTTGTTCCTGCTGCATCGTTTGTGAACGTGATCGGAGTGATGCAAGAATTTTCAGTCATTAATTATCAAGCTATGACTCTACAACCAACTGATAAAATTCAATTTGCATCGCTCAGACTTCGAAATAACTTTTACAACATCCACAAATGATGAGCTTTTAAGTATCAATAATCATTTTTTAAAAAAGTTTCATGTGTGTGAGTGAGTTTCGTCTCTCTATAAGAGAATTAACTTTGAGCTTATAAGCTGCTAACAATACAAAATAATTAACTACATTTCAGGTAACTACTTACATTCGTCATGTTGTTTTTTTCATCAATATTATTTTTTTATCGGATATTGCAATGTGGGCGTTATTATCTCGTCATTTTTTTTCATTAAGGGTAGGGTTGGATGGTGCTTTGAGGGGGTTTGAAGGGAGCTTGTTTGGATACTTTTTTGAAATAACAATGTTGAAAATTTGAAATTTTAATATTTTATTGTTTTAAAATTCAGTTTCATATTCACACAAAATTTTCAATTTTTTTTAAATTCGAATTTAAAATTTTATGTTTAAAAAAAATTTAAAAGCAAAAAATTAATCTTTTGTTTTGTTATATTTATAACCACGCAATTGAAACTTCAAATTTTAATACTACTTGATTTTAGAAAATTATTGAATCATCTTACCGACGAGCCTAAAACCTAATGCCATTAAAGTAATCATTTTCTACCCAAATATCCTCTCTACCCTCCTCAACAACATCCAACCCTACTCTTTGTTATTTAATAATTTTTATTAAATGCATAAAGAAGGAAAAAAAGAATTTTTTGATCATTCTTCATTTCTATTTGTATGGAAAGCATTTACAGTCGGCGTTTTCTTGATAAGTTTATGTTTTTATCCTTACTTCTTTTAAAAAAGTTTTTTTCATTTTTTTTGAAATTGGAATTTTTTTTATTTAAAGCTATGACATTCTTGATCATCATTTTTTATGTTTTTTTTTTTAATTTTTTAAATTATGCGAATTAACTATCATTTTTTGGTTTTTTACTTAATCATCATCGTCATTAATCGTAGAGAGATCACATGGTGTAAAATTTGAAAGATTTTTTTACTCTTAATTATTTTCATCATTATAATATAATTTTTTTTTCTTAAATTTTTCATTTGCGAATCATTTTTTTAAATTTAATTCATTTTTAATTACTTTGTTACTTTTAAAGAGAGGAGGAAAATTTTTTTACATAATTTTTTTTGCGATTGAGTTTTAAGTTTATTTTTTGAAATTATAAAATTTTTTGAGAATTTTTGTTTTGCTAGGTTTATGATGGGATTTTATGGAGGGGTAGCTTGGGGACTTGTTTTTTAATTTATGAACCTATGTGAAGTGTCTTAATTTTGATAAACTTATAAAATTCAACTCTGACCCTATTAAAATCTAAAGCCTTACGTACTTTAGTATCATTGGAATAGCTAATTGGTAGGGGGTAGAAGAAAGAAGGTTTCTATGGTCAAACTTTCTTAGATATTGAGAAATATTCTTTAATTTGCTTGAATTTCATTAGAAATAAGCTCTAAATCCCCCTTAAAATTTTCGAAATCCTCAACCTTGACAAACTTTTGGCTAAGCTTTTTCTTTATGGCAAACATAAAATCAGTGTGCTGTTAAGAAGGTCTAAAGGGTTCCGAAAACTCTAGCTCATTTTAAAATTGACAATATACACAGGAAACACCAATAATTACAGTTTTTAACCACGTTCCTTGAAATAAGAGACGCTACTAAGTTTACGTCTACTTAAGTTGAACTGAGCAAATTTAATGTAGTTTTACTAAAATTCGATCCACAACTTATATTAATTATAGAGTTGAATCTCAAAACTTCTTTAACACGAGCTCTACATCTTAATTTCCATGACTAAATAGATTCCCTACTCAAATAAAGGATCCCCTCCTTTGCATACCCCAACACCACAACAATCTCATCACATATCCCAGTAAAAAACAAAAAAATAATAAATATGATTACAATTATCAATCTAATCATATCCATTAACCAAGGGAAATAAAAAAGAGATTTCAAGAAGATAAAGTTCTCTGAGCATATAATCTGATAGATAAAAAAAGGCTTGAAGTATGTTGAATTATTTTATGTTGATAGATATTTTTTTAAGATAAAGAGAGAGTATAATTTTCTTTTTTCAATATTTTTTTTTCTTTCATTATGTCTTATGGATGGGAATCAAAGGCGATTGCAAATTTTTTTTATATTTTTTTTCTCGTATGATGTTCCATATGTATGAAATCAATTTTCTTTACTTTAATTTAATGTTTTGATTTAAGATTAAAATATGAAAGAAAAGAAGAAATTATGTCATACTTTTTAAGTTTCATACTTTTTCTTAATAAGTAAGTAGTGTTCTTCCTTAATATTTTTTTTATTTTATTTTTATCCATTTCTTCATTTTAGTTATATCACAGAAAAATTATTTACATTACGATTTTCTTCTTCATCTTATTCATTTTTTTTATTCATTCAAAAAGATTGAAAAGATTTTTTTTAAATTATTAATTTTTTTCTTCAAAACTTTTTCTAAATACTTTTTTTTTCAATAAGTTTGACGAATAAAGTTAAAGCAAAATGTCGTCGAATTGAAAGGAATTTTTGTGGAATTTTAAAAAAATGAATTTTTTAATTTTTAAAAATTGAAATTGTTTTAAATTTATCAAAAAAGAACTGTCACGAAAT